GGGCCTCTCAGTGTTGTGGCCTCTCCCGTTGCGGAGCACAGGCTCCGGACGCGCAGGCCCAGCGGCCATGGCTCACGGGCCCAGCCGCTCCGCGGCATGTGGGATCTTCCCGGACCGGGGCACGAACCCGTGTCCCCTGCATTGGCAGGCAGACTCTCAACCACTGCGCCACCAGGGAAGCCCAAAAATGAAGTTTTGCCATTTGCAACAACATGGATAGACTTGGAGGGTATTATGCTACATGAAATAAGTCAGACGGAGAAAGACAAGAGTTCAGTAAATATAAAGGGAATTATCTTCAGTAATTATGAAACATTTTTTGAAAACAGTTCCATCAACATCCTTAATATGTTAAGTTGGAACTGCCACTATGTGCATATAAAGTAATAGTATTATCAAGTCATTATTAAAATTTACTTTAAAGTTTTCCTGTGTTCAGATTTGTACACTGAAATTTTCTGTAACAAAGTTCCATACTTTATAGGATGAATGTGTTTCCTTGTTTATAATGTATTTGTTTTTAGGACCCTGGACAAAACCAGTGTTATGAAATTACAAGATGAGTACTTTATGTATGTTTTAGGAAGCCAAGTTGTCTGAAACAGTTTCAGCTTCCAACGTCTGGAAAAGTCATTATGAGAAAATTGTAATAGAAAAAACTGAATTGGAAGTTCAGATCGAAACAATGAAAAAGTAAGAAAAAAAATTTAGAGCCTTTTTACTGTTTCATAAGAAGTGTTTTCTGTTCTTTCCAACTTGAGTAATTTGTATTTTGATTCTTATGGATTACATGTGGTAAAGCTGTTTTCTATATGATTGGCTATTTTTGCTATTTATAATTTATAAACTTTTCTTAGTCTACTTTAAAAATACAATAAAAATGATTACCCATTAAAACTGCATTGGTGTTCACAAATTATTGTTCCTTAAAGTGTCTTACATGCATAACAAAGAAAAATAAAAAATGCACATATTTTATAAATATATGTATTTACATATATTTATATATAAATTTATATATGTAGCATAATATATTTATATATATATAAGCATATTTTTAAAAATGTTTTTAACAATAACATCAGCAACAACAGCAATTTTTAAAATTAATTTATTTTATTTTATATTTTTGGTTGCACCGGGTCTTAGTTGTGGTGGGCGGGCCTCTTAGTTGCAGCATGCACGTGGGATCTAGTTCCCTGACCAGGGATCGACCCCGGGCCCCCTGCATTGGGAGCATGCAGTCTTAACCACTGCACCACCAGAGAAGTAAAAATACATATATTCTATATTTTGTAATTTATTATTAAGCTAACAATAAATAACTATATATTTGTTTTTGAATGTTTTACTTTCTGTATATTTTCTTCAGTTTTATCATTGAAAACTAATGTATATGGTTTGCTTCTAAAGATTATTTATTGCCTCACTTGATCCTTTTATTTAACCTTTTCCCAGAAATTGTGTGTATGTGTGTGCACATGTATGAATGATAGAAAGACAGACCTACCTGTGGATCATAGTTTAGGTGTTCTGCTGACTAGCAAAGAGAATGTTGTGTAATTTTTCATTGGCATCATCAATGGATAATTATTTCTAATCAGTTACTCAGTAGTAGTAACCTTATATATAGATTACGGCTTCCTATCTCCTTTGCTGTATGAGTTCTAGTAACTTTTGAAACTACCCTACAAAAATAATTTCAGAAACACACTGTTTGAATGAAAATTTCTATGACTTTTATAAAGGCAAATTATTAATCTTTTGGAAGACCTGAAGAAAATGGAAGACCATGGAAAAAATTCATGCGAAGAAATTCTCAGAAAACTTCACTCAATTGAATGTGAAAATGAAACTCTGAATCTTGAGAATACAAAATTAAAGGTACTATGTGTTTGTGTGTATGTATATATGTATAGTATAATGACAACTTAGTCTACTTGGTAGAAGTAACTTGAAATAACAGCAGGTTTAGAGTAGTGCTCTTGTATCATTTTTTTCCTTTATGTTTCTCAGAGTTTTAGAATATCATTATAGTAAGTAACTTCTAAAACTATATCTGTATATCTGTATGTACACATATATGCACACATACTTATATAGAGATATTTAGATGTTTATAGTTGTATATACAAATACATGTAAAGGTTGTTTTCAGCAGTACTAAGATTTATGAAGTTGAATAACTGTCTCTTTGTCTCAACCTAAAAAAGTTTATTTACTCTCCAATTTTAGCAGTTAGGCGAATCATCCAAAATTACATTAACTTTAATGCATAAGATTATTTCTAGGTGTCACGGTTACAATAGGATATAGCCTCAGGCATGGTCCATTTGAAACCAGAAAGTATGTTCTTGGCTGCTTCATAACTGGAAAGAATTTTCCAACTCAGTCAAATCCAAGGGATGATTGGTTTTTATGTGTACCCAGAGTAAAGATGGGGAAGAAGCTTTTATACATTCTGAGGAAAAGGGTATTTGAGTTCCTAGTCACAGATACATGTAACCTGATGAGACTTGACTAAAGATGATGGCATCATTTTCACTTCCTTAATACTGTTTTTGGAGGACAGAAAATAGAAGACAGAAAAGAATCTGTTTATGGAAAAGAAGGCCAGAATTGGCAGTTCAAAACCAGTATGGCATCAGAGAACCTAGCTACTTTTTAGCTCTCTACTCTGCCATTCAAATGGCTGATGGGGCTCCATCCATTATAGCCAAGATTCAAATAACAGGTTGGGGGGAAACAAAAGAAGAATTATCTCCCCCTTTTTCCCTATCTCCTCCTCTTTAGAGAGACTTCCTGAAAGTTCCATACCCGTCGACTCTTCTCCTTATTTAGGTATATGGCCCCACCTAGTTACAGGGGAGACTAGAGAATGTAGCCTTCTAGTTATCCTGAACTCTAGCCAGATTTTCTGCAACTTGTTTATGTTTTCCTCTATTCCTGTAGTTTTACTGTTCTTACAGTTTGGAATGCGTTTTTTCTCCGTATATAAATCCTACCTTTCCTTTAAAGTTCAGTTTAAATGCTGCTTCCTCCCAAAGTCTTCTCAATTAGGATGAATCTTTCCTCATAAACTCGCATCTTTGTATGCACAGGATAATCATGGGAGGTGTGACATATAGTTAGCTCTTATTCAATATTTATTGAATTAATTCTTTAAATATTTTATTCTAGAAGAGGAAGCAATTTTATTTATTATGTTTATTTTCTTAATTTCCTTGATATCCTTCAGAGAGGGGATTAGAAGGATATTTCATTAATTTTAAGTCTGGTTTTTAATTACATGGTAATAGAATTAATTTTAAGTTACATATAAAAATCATTGAGTTAAAGTTTACATATTATATTCTATAAATAATTCAGAAACATGTATTTTTAACTCTGAATTTTGTTTAAGGAAAAACATATTTGGCATATGTTATGTACAATGTAAAATTGTCTAGATGTTGTATTTTGTTACTTTCAATTATTTTAGAATAATTTTAGATTTTAGTTTCAAATGAAGAAGATACTAGCTGATACTGTTTCTAGGACCCCAGCGACCTCCTCTATTAAAAACAACAAAAGTTATTTGGAAGGTTACAAAGTTCTATTTGTTCATTATAGAAAGTTTGAAAAACAGAAAAGCACAAAAGGAAAAAATTAAAAATCACCTATAATCTCACAACTGAAAGATAAGTAAAGTTACTCTTTTAGCATATATATAATTTGGGGGATTTTGGACTACTTCCAGTTTTTTGGGGGTTTTTTTGCTGTTATAATATAAATAAAAATGTGGATACGTTTAATCTTTTTGCATATATATTTTCTTAGGATAAATTTCTGCAAGTGGAATTATATGGTCAAAAGGAAGACCCATTCTTAATGTTAGTTTTATGTATTTCCAGGTCACCCATCGTAAATGGGTCCCTATACTTTTTCCAGTACTAGGCAATTTTAAAACAAATCTCTCCAAATTTGATTAGTGATCTTATCTAATTTTGGGGATTTAAATACCATCTATATCCTGGGGGCTCTCAAATTTATATCTCTAGCCTAGACCTTGCCCCTGAATTCCAGACATGTATTCTACTGCTTACTTGAAATCTCCACTTGGGTATTTCATAGGTGTCTCAAAGTTACCATGTCCAAAATAGAGTTCCTATATTCCCCAATATGGTTCATCCTACAGTTTTCCTTGTCTCAGTTAATGGCAGTCATCCTTTTTGTTACTTGACTCCTTTCTCTCACACCTGCTTCCAGTTTGTCATTAGATCTACTTCAAATATATCCAGAATTTGACCACTTCTCACCAGCATCACTGTCATCCTGGTTCAAGCTACCATCATGTCTCGTTGTTATAGTGACTTCCTACTTCTTCTCTTTGCTTCTGCCCTTGCCCCTGCCCCTACAGTCAGCGTTCAGTATAGCAGTAAAGTAGTTCCTATGAAAATGTAAGTCAGACCATGTCACTGCTCTGCTCAAAACCCTTCAGTGATACCTTGATTAATAGAGTAAATATCTACAAGGCATTTTACTATCTGGCTTTCCATTACCTCTCTGACCTCATATCCTTCCACGCTTCCATTTGTTTTCTTGCTTTCTGCCACATTGGCCTTCTTGCTTTTTTCCCCTAACTGGCCATGCTTTCTCCCACCATTGCCTTTCTCTACAGAAAGAGCCATACTTCCTTTTGGTGTTTACTCCAAAGTCCCTTTCTCAGGAGGCCTCCCTGGCCCATTCCCAACTTGTCCTTACTGTCTTGCTTTTGTGTATGATATATTTTACTTCTTGTTTTTTGTCTATATACCCCTTATTTGTGTCTGTCTATACGTAGAGTACATTAAGCTCACAATGGAAGGGATTTTTGCTTCTTATGTACACTACTAGAAGACTATCCATTGCCTAGAGCATTTTTTAATAACTAGTAAGTATATTTTTTCATGTATTTGTTGATCATTTACATTTCTGCCTTTTGGAATTACCTACTCATTATCCTTTACATGTCTTTTTTCCTAGTTATTATATAAGACCTCTCTCTGTAGTAATCTTTTGTCATAATCTTTTACTCTTTTCACATTTTGTTAGGCCCTTTAGTTTTTTGAGGGGCTATGAAATTTTGGAGATATATGTACATGTACATATGTATGTATATATATGCATGTGTGTGTTTGTATGTGTGTGTGTATATTATATCTTTTTTTCCTTTTCGGCTTCTGTTGGGAGTCTCACATTTCTGCACATCTGACTGCCTATGATCCAGATACAGACTGTCTTTTCAAGGGTGTTTGTATAGTGAACATCCTTGGAAGATAACAATGTTTCCTTCTACCAAAAGGCATGCTTACTGCCTGTTATAAGAGATTTGGGTTCCCTAAACTCAGAGTTCCTTCTGTATACAACCCACCACATGTACAGGTGTCATCTGGCCCTCTTGGTGTTGCTTTGTGGGAAGTGGGGCTTTGGAAACGAACACAAATGCTAATATCTGGCTACTGCTATTGCTTTGAGTAATAAAGAAATTAAGACTCTGACCCAGGAGTCTTGTGTCTTCTGCTAACATGCATGAAACTGTGCTAGGCTAACTGGTAAACTTGGAGGATAAAATCTCAGACTCTTACAGTTCATGATATCATCTTTTGATTTTATGCTTAGTTAGGTTTTTGCTATCCTAAAATCAAATCAAATTTTACCTGGATCTTCTGTGAAAAAATTTAAGCTTAACTTTTGAATATTTAATACATTAAAATAAATATATAATTGTTTAATATAAAAATCATGTTTGCTGAAGGCAAATAGTTAAATCTGCTTTTTTCCTAATAAATGGTTGTCTTATTACCATTATATAGTGATCCATATTTTACCCATTTATTCAAAAATCCAACCTTTGTCATACACTAAATATAATCTTAGTGTATTTTTCTTTTTCTGTTCCACAGACCTCTATATTATTATGTTAGTATCTTAATAATTTTAGTTCTTTATACATTTTAATATCTAATAAGTACTGAGATTCTCTAGTATCTTTTAAAATTTTTATTAGTCTCTTTATTTTTCCATATGAATTTTAAATTAATTTTGTCATGTTCCTCTTCCCCTCAACTGTTATACTTTTGGTTGTAATTACAGTAAAGTTTTATTGATTTGAAAAAAACTGATATGTCAAGAGTATTGAGCCCTCCCTTCCAGGATCATGGTCGTTCTATTTTCCAAGTCTTTTTCGTCAGTAAATTTTTAAAGTTTAAAAATAGGTCTTGGGACTTCCCTGGTGGCACAGTGGTTGAGAGTCCGCCTGCCGATGCAGAGGACACGGGTTTGTGCCCCGGTCCGGGAAGATCCCACATGCCGCGGAGCGGCTGGGCCCGTGAGCCATGGCTGCCGAGCCTGCGCGTCCGGAGCCTGTGCTCCGCAACGGGAGAGGCCACAACAGTGAGAGGCCCATGTACCACAAAAAAAAAAAAAAAGAAAAAGGTCTTGAATAAGTCTTATTAAAGTTGCTCATAAATATTACTACCTGAAATTCCTAATGTTAGATGGTAATTATATGCAATCAGAAATTATTATTTTATTAGCTTCATTGATAAATGAGTTATGTTTTTTAATGCTATAGCACTGGAGTACAAATGAATTCTAATGATTTATAAAATCTATTTATATATTCCTTAATAGACTACACTAGCTGCTTTGAAGGACGAGATTGCCTCTGTTGAAAATGAGCTCTTAGAATTGCAAGAAGTAGAAAAACAACAGAAAACCCTTATTGAAGTTTATAAAACTCAGGTGATCATTGCATTTATTTTAATGTTTGTTAAATTTGGTAGATAATTTAAAACACTGCATTTGTTTATGATCTAAAAAAGCAGAACTGAAGAAAGGTGGAGTTATTATTTGTGATAAAATGTGATATATCCCAAATATTTCTTAAGGTCCCAAATACTTTTATAAAATGATGATTCTGCTGATTCCTGATTTAAATATCCTGTGTTTATATTGGTTATCCCTAAAAGTAGATCTAAAATTAATTACATAGGTATAATGTGAACCTATAATAATCCTGTTAGTTAATTTTGGTTATATTTGTCATCTTGTTTTTTTTTTTTTTTTTCTTGCGTTATGCGGGCCTCTCACTGTTGTGGCCTCTCCCATTTGCGGAGCACAGGCTCCGGACGCGCAGGCTCAGCGGCCATGGCTCACGGGCCCAGCCGCTCCGCGGCATGTGGGATCTTCCCGAAACGGGGCACGAACCCGCGTCTCCTGCATTGGCAGGCGGACTCTCAAGCACTGCGCCACCAGGGAAGCCCTGTCATCTTGTATTTTTAATGGTATTGATTTAGAATAATGACTCCCTTCAAGGGTCATTAAAGCACAATATTTCCTCTTTCCAAATAAATAAAGTATAATTCAGATTTACTCACATGAAAGACCTGGAAAAGAACAGATGACAATATGTATGGAATAGAGAGTGTGTTAATTGGTAATTTATAGAAAAGCTTAAGTATTAGAAAGTTTAAGAAAAACTTCATTTGAAAGATGGGACTTATGTAGGTCCTTGAGTGATGGGTAACAAACTGTCAGTAAAGAGCTTGATTTTCTTGGAAGAGAGTGTTTGAATTGAAGAATAATGAACTAAAGGTTAAAACTTAAGGAGGGGCATAATGTAGGTAAGTAGGAAGCACTCCATCCCAATGGTTTAGATAGGAAATTGGAGTTGAGACATCCAGTTAGAATATTGCCATCATCCCAGCTGGAGGTAAGAATGGAGGCTGTGATGGACTGTGCAATGCGTTACTGGGAATGTCATCTGGGTCTTCCAGCAGGTTGTTCTGGTTTAATGCCCCATCGAGAATACTGTAGATGAGTTACCATATTCTTGACTCTGGGCCTTGTATAAAGTGCTCAGATATTTTTTGAGCAGATTTTGATTCGGAGTGTGAAATAATTTGTTTGGGAGCTAGTTTGGAACAGAGACTGATTCTTTAAAGTGACGTGGACCTGCAAATGAGGATCTCTCTCTAATATTCAGAGCTCAGGTGAAGATTCTAGACGTATTGATGGGAAAAGACAGGTAAATCATAAAAGGATTGTGGATTAGAGTAGAGCACTGAGTGATTCCTGTATTTAAAGAAGGAATAACATTAGATAAACATGCGGAGAGTATTAATAGGAAAATGATAATGGGTTTAAAATTGAAATTTTAAAATTTAAATTCAATTTCTTAGCTTTTTATTTCATACAGTGGTCCTAATAATAAAATAATTGCATCTTACTCTAATAATATATTTTATTTTCAGATACAGAAGTTGCAAGAAGCAGCTGAAATGGTGGAAAGCAGATGTGAAAGTTTGCTACAAGAGAATAACCTAATAACAAAAAACAAAAATAAAAAATTAAAGAAGGTAAGTTTGACATTTTAAACAATAAAATAATGTTTTATGTATGTTTTGTACTTTATGAATTTTATATAAATTCTTTAATTTTGGTCATTTTCTTTAGTTTAGACCTAGAAATTATCTGTTCTCGATTTCTGTGGCAGTTTGTTTTCTAAGGACATGAAGTTTCGTCCAGGCTTGAAATGTTTGTTTGTGTGAATGTTTTTTTTTAGTTTTTCCTAAATATTTGGAAAATAACATAAATGTTTAATTTTTCTGATACAAGATCAAACTTAAGTAGCAGAAAAAATGGTTATCACTGAGCTTCATGCAAAGTTGAATACCTTTCATTTTTAATCTTACCTTTTTATTCTGGTAGTAAATCTCTTGTGTAAAAAAGCAAAGTAAATATTCTCTGCTAAATGCTTTTATGGAAGAAAAATAACATTAAAAAGCCCAACATCATTTACTTTTTTTTTTCACCCTATTGCAAAAGAATGAGGGGAAGTTCAGTGTTGGCAAGTTATGATGTTTTTGTGAATATTTTTAAGTTTTTAAATGAAACTGCATCCCTTTTTGGGTCTTTTCACGTTGTTTTGGTAAGGAAGCAGCAAAAGTTGTGGGACGCTGACTCCCCTGACTCCCAGCTGGGGACATCATGGGATGTTACTGGTCACTTCCAACTGAGTGTAATAAGGTGACTGTCTCTGGGTCGTCCCCACATCTTGGAATTGAGAAGTCTGAGTGAGGCACCAATGTGAAGAAGAGGTCAGCCAGAGCAGATATTCTGCTGGTTAAAAGAGATAAAGGTAGCCTATCAAATGTGCAACTTACTACTTAGAATTAATACTTTTCACCTATTTTTAGCAGAGCAGAGAAGAAATCATTTCATACCTCTTGATCATGTTTTCTTATGAGACATACCAATGCAAATGTCTCCTCTTTTGTAGGCAGCACTCTAAATAAATGTCTATTTAAAAAACCTATTCAAAAGGCCAATGGGGCAGGAGCCTGTGGTTTTCAATTACTGTGAGGTCACAGTTTTCTTACTGGTATTAAATCAGACGAGCCATTTTTTTTTTTTTTTCTAATGAAATGCTTCCTTTTTCTTTCCTACTATTTTAAGTCTCCTGGTTTTCTCATGGGCTCTTAGATGTTTGGGGACCCAGAGGTAGGCTTTGTTCTACTTTTATCTTTTGTGATCAAGAATGCCAGATGTTGCACAGCAGCTCGTGTGTTTCCAAGAGTCTAGCTGTTGTTTTCCCTCCCTGTGAACATCCTAAGTGCCCTATGTCTTGTTATTTTTTTTTTAACTAGCAGTACAAGCATTTTTTTAGGGCTGCTTCTTGTCACATCTCCACAAAAGTGCCACGGTGAAAAATTGCAGCAGCCAAAGAGATTAATATAGATACAGTTAGATTTGTTCTTAGTAACATATAACATTAATGATCAAATTATAGTCTACTGAGTACTGATGATATTAGCTATTTTGAATTTATATACAGTAAACTCACTGATTTGGACTAAGCTGAGCACAGCAAGGCTGCTCTAATTGAAATATCTGAGTTACCAGATCGAATGACAGAAAGTCTAAAGTTACTTTAGACTGATGGCTGGACAGCAGAAAACTACCATACCAGCTTTCTTAGTAATATCTATACTTGAATATAAATGACAGAATTCAAAAAAGTTTACTTTCCTAAGTAATTTAAACAGTCTCCCTGCAAGCTAATATTACCATAGTCGTTTATTCAGCAAACTTTTTGGAAACTAATTGAAGTCCAGCCCACTTTTGAGTTATACATTCTTATTTAGCAGAGTCTAACTTAAAGTTTATTCTTATTTATTTGGTTAAATCTTTTTTAAAAAACTATTATACCCAAAACATTTACTATATTACAAGCGTATCTAGTATTTAAGATAGTAAAAACGTTAATGCTGAATGTGTGATCTTGCACTTATTTCCCTAATGCTACAACTCAGGTGAGAGGCCAGATGGAGTCTCATCTGAAGGAGTTAGAGCACGACCGCGGTTCCTTGACAGCAGCAGAACAGAGGCTTCACGAGCGTCAGGAGAGTCTGCAGCACCACAAGGGGAAATGTGCAGACCAAGCACACGCCATTAGGGAGCTTCAGGGCCAGGTGTCCAGCCATCATTTTGATTTTTGCTAGATGTGTTAAATGCTTTGGAATAATTTCACCAGTTGAGGGCACTCATGTCAGGGGGTGATTATTTTACTCTCATCTAAATAAGTTGATAAAAGGTCAGTTTCATGCAAATACTATATTATTTTCAAGCTATTTTTTAAAAAATTGGTAATTAAAATTGCTGATTTAGTTTATTCATACAAATCTGTGTTTAGACATTTGAGTTCATAGTAATAGCATGAGCGAAGGAACAAAGCTATGTTTACATGTGTATTTTTTGATGTTAGGATAAGGTAAATTATTGTATTTTACCTTACAAAAATTAGAATTTATTTCAATTAGAATTATGTACCAAGTTTATTTGTATTATTCTCAATTATTTTTTTCAACATATACTTTTTTTACTCCATCAGAAGAGAGATCGTGGGTGCCATACAGCCATCTCTTAACTCAATGCCTAACACATAGTAAACACTTAATAAATATTTTTTAATTAATTATTTTTCAAAGAACCTTGTCCAAAGGTGGTGGCAAGTCTTTTTCTTTATTTGCAGAATAATTTTAGGAAGAATTCCCTGTCTATCTTTCAAATGTAATCTGGATTTAATATTGAAATGCATCCTGTTTTTAAAAACAGGCAAACAAAACTTTGCTGAGTTTAAGTTCCTGAAAAGAGATCTTTCTAGAAAAATGTCAGATCACATAGATAACCTAAATTACTAATTGAAATTATGAGAAAAATTCTATTTTTATTTTTCAAAACATCTTAAACTATTTAAATATAGCTTTTGAAGCAATGGGAAGAATATTCTGTCTTGGCATGGGCAGGTGTGTCTTTGGTTGATATGCTTATCTATTTTATTTTGCTTCTCACAAATATAGTTTGTACTCAGTTACAACTTCACAGATATTCAATTATTAATCACTATCTGTAAGTGAAACAGAAAACTGTAAGAGTAACCCTAAGTATCCAACAATAGGAGATTACTGTTTAAAATCTTCACATTTACTTAATAAATGTTCTTTTTCAATAAAACATTACTCAGAATGTTTTAATTGCCGTCTTTCAGTAAAATTTTTCGTAGATTTTCCATGAGGCAACGTAGTTTTTTGAAAATTAACCAGGAATTTAAGAACTTGTGTTTTAACAATGTAATATTTCTTGGTGTCTCTCTGTATAGGAGTAATAATAATATTTATACCTTCTTCTTTTTTATAATTGTTCTAATGATAAACTATATAGATTTCTTTGGAAGTTGATTATAAAGAAAATAACCAAGAAAACATTTTTCTCCTTTAGGTTGATGAAAATCATGATCTTTTGACAAAGCTTTCCCTGGAAGAGGAAAGTTATCTTATTCAGTTGAAATGTGAAAACCTTAAACAGTAAGTATTAAATTGACTTAAAATTGGTGTTACCTTTTTTTCTACACACTATAATTTTAAAATATATGTCTTCTGTAAAAAGAAAATTAGAACAGATGGATGCAGAAAATAAAGAGCTTGAAAAGAAGCTGGCAAACCAAGAAGGATGTCTTAAGCGTACCAATCTTGAGTTTAAAGAGAAATCTGCAGAATATAGAGCATTGGCCAGACAGCTGGAAGCTGCTTTAGAAGAAGGAAGACGAAAGGTACAGATGGCCTTTATTCAGAAACTTTTTAATTAGTTTACCAAAGAGTCATCTTTTGAAACAGACAGTATCTCATCTTGCCAAACCTACAGTTATTGTTTTTATCCTGATGACAGGGTGAAGGGAGCAATTACATTTTTGTTTTTTACCTGCTTTTCCCTTTTGGAGCTAAACAGATAGATTACTGGTCCAGAGTTACTTCACTAAATAAACGATGATGTGGCAGGGTAAAGGGCCGAGATGGAAAACACTTTAAAGAAGTCCCCCCTCTTTTTTAAAAAATGAAGCCACAGCAAATATGCAAATTATTGAACCTTTTGGTTTTGATTAGGATTCAGTGAGCTATAAAGCTCAACTCCCTTTTCTTTTGGCAAATGTTGTTGTATAAATAAATATAGACAAGAATTAATTTCCGGTTAAATCCAGCTGGATAGCATTTAATAAATATCTCACTGTCTGTCAAGCATTCTGCTAGTGCTTATGATGCAAAGATGAGTAAGACCTGGCCTCAGCTCTCAGGACACTCACAGTCCAGTAGGGAGATAACATGTGAACAAACAAATGTCATCCAGCAAGTAGGTGCTACAATGCAGGGAAGATACAAGGTACACCAAGGGGGTGTGGTTAGTTCAACCTGGAGAGGAGGGGAAAATGATTCAGGAAGATCTCAAAGAAGAGGTAAATTTTTCAAGTGATTTGAAAATGTAATCTTGAAAGACACAAGGTGGGCTTTGGAATCCATAAGAAGTAGATTTGAATTCTGGCTCTGACACATTATACCCTCACCCAGGGCAAGCTACTTTCTAAACTTTAGTTTTTTAATTGATAAAATGGGGATGATGAATTTCCTGATAGGATTGAATGACGCCAAAAGGAGATTGTCTATACCCTGATGACTCTCAGAAGTATATCTCCGCCCCAGACTTTTCTCTATCCTGACATCTAAATTCATATATTCTGCTACTTTATTTGACATCTCCACTTAACATAGGCATCTCAAACTTAACATGTCCAACACCAAATTTTGAATCTATCTCTCTAGACTCTCTTCCACCCATGGTCTTTCCCAAGCCTGTTAAAGGCAGTTCCATAAGGGTGAGATAACATCTGATATCCTTGAAATGTGGCTCTTAAATCGTAAGTGTCATATAGATATATTTTGATTTTTTTTTTTAACTCCAGGAAAGCAATTTAAATTGACTTTGAAAGACCCATCATTGAATGAAAGCTAAGTAGTAAAATGTACTGCCAATGATAGATGTGTAATCCAGATTTCTCAGTCCCAAACTTTGGGAGGAAAATAAGAAGTGACTTTATCCTGGGTTCAGACTAAATGGACTTTGGAAATGCTAGGTGCTCTCAGATTCCTTCTCACAAGAGTTCAGTCCCCAGAGATGTGTCTGCCCTCTCCTTTCTTTCCTGCTGCAGTGGAATATGGGGTTGTCTTTAGTTCCTGCCACATGAGGAGTGCCATCACTGCACTGTCACCATTGTCTACACTGCTGGACGTTGTAAAGGACACAGATACTTGTCCTGAGGGCCCTTTCTCCCACAGCTTCAAATCCTGCTATGCTCACAATCATCCTTGGAATTTGTGCACAAGAAGTCTTTGTAAATAACTTTATAATAACTTAGAACTTAGTCCATGGGAGTGAGATTAGAAGACAGTCCTTTCTACTAGCTCCTTGCTCCTCAACTAGTCCCTGCGTCCACTGTCATTCTTAGGGATCCAACCCAGCATTCCTGAAAATAGGCTCCCAAGTATCTGAATCCTTGGATGAATGTAGCTAAGCTAGACTTTTTGCTAAAATAAGCCATCGGAGGAATATGAAAACTCAAATTCAGAACATTTTGGAAGTGAATGAATGAAAAACCAATCGTGTGTGTGTGTGTGTGTGTGTGTGTGTGTGTGTGTGTGTGTGTGTGTGTGGTGTAAATATCACCTACCCTGCCCCCAATTCTGTCCATCCAAGTCTATAATCAGCGTTGGTTGTGGACTTTATATGTCCCACCACCACTCCGGACACCATGGTAAATATAAATACTGTAAAACATGGCAATTGGTCTCAGCAGGTTATAGAAATATAGTATTGGGGAAAACCTACCAACGTCACAGAGCAGTGCAAATACGTATACCTCTTCCACTTCAAGCTAATTTTTCAGGTACTTACACAGCAAAGAGGAGAATACATGCTTACACTATGCATTTGTCAAGATAGAACATCTTTAAACACTTTCTAATTAAATTGTCTAATATCCAAATAATACCTGTTTGGAAAGAAGCGATACAGTAAAACTATGTCAAGGCTTTAAATCATATCTTAAAGAAAGCACATTTAGTTTTTTCTTTTAATTAAAATTACAGGTTTCTGAAGAAATAGAGAAAATGTCATCTAGAGAAAGGGCTTTACAAATTAAAATATTAGATCTGGAAACTGAGCTTAGAAAGAAAAATGAAGAACAAAATCAACTTATTTGCAAAATGAACAGTGTAAGTATTAGTATGGCTTAATGTATTTTCATTAAAAATAAGTTAGCATTAACATTCTTACCATGGAGTTTAGTTATAAACAATTAAAATACAAAGAGGGGAATCAAGGCTATTGCTTTACTGATAGTATTAAAAATAACAAATAATATAAATCATAAAAAATAAAAATGGGGGCTTCCCTGGTGGCGCAGTGGTTGAGAGTCTGCCTGCCGATGCAGGGGACACGGGTTCGTGCCCCGGTCCAGGAAGATCCCACATGCCGCTGAGCGGCTGGGCCCGTGAGCCATGGCCGCTGAGCCTGCGCGTCCGGAGCCTGTGCTCCGCAATGGGAGAGGCCACAACAGTGAGAAGCCCATGTACCGCAAAAAAAAAAAAAAAAAAAAAAAAGTCAGCATTTGGGAAAAGAATTATTATCCTGTATCCTTGGTAGCATCTATTACATTTCCCCCGAAGTCTCATCAGGCCCTTTCCCTGCATATTACTTTTACATGACAAATGCTTGATGAAAGTTACAGATATCATTGACTTATTTTCTTTTTAATATGAATTTTTCAGTTTTTAAGATAAACACTATTATTATGAGTTAGATTTTGATATGTCTTAAATAATGTATATTATATTTTAGAAAGTTATAAGTTGGTGTTAAGTAAACATTTTATATCTGCATGTGAAGTGGATGCTTTGGTCCACTCAGCCATGAGATGAGAATACCAAATTGGCTGTGTTTAATTAGTCTTCTAATGTTTCTTCCTAACTATTCATGAAACAGATGGCATAACAAACTGTGAAAGGTGGCACTAGTTGTGACTGAATTACTTGAAAACTATCTACTTAACAGTGACACAGGAAATAATACTTTATTTTTTCTAGGAGCCAGTCTCCATGAAAACTGTTTTTTCATTCCCAAGCATCTAAATCATTGAAAACCTGAAAGGTTCAAAAGTTAAATGAGTTTTGACGTGCAATATTTTAATTTTATTGCCATCAAAAGTTCCATGGCAATTTAATCAGAACAAAACATTTCTCATCTTTAATTTAGCACAGGCCTTCCCTTTATTTCAAAACTTTTTTTTAAACTCACTGTCAGACTTTCTGTTGTAAAATATGTGTGACATTCTTTGTGTAATTGAAACTTCTGAAAAAATAAAATAAGTATTAAGATGAGGTGTGTTTGCTATAATATTCCCAGTACTTGGGAATATTAAAGCTGCTAAAATAGGTAGATTTAAGATCTGATGTTTTGTTAAACCTGATCATTTTTACAGTAGTAAAAAACTAGAATTCTAACCATAGATTTAGACATTGCTGAAAAATGGCTTTATGAGTTCTTTCCCTTCCAGGGGGCAGTTTAGTTGGCAATTCAGTATTTGTTTTGTATACAAGCCTTAGCTCCATCTGAACTGTAAGCACCCTGAGAGGCTGTCTCATAGTTAATTGTATGCTGGTGTCTTCTAGGGTGCCCTGCCCACAGTGGCAGGCCTCTACAGATTTTCTGCCCAGGTGCTCCGGGGGAGGGCGGAGTGCTTGCACAGACCCAAGGGTGACCCTCAGTAACTTACCTCAGACCAAGAAGCCTGAAATGTCTTTGGAGTCTTATATATTATACTAAACTCCATGTATATTTTGCTTTCTACCTTACAGTATGTGTGTTTGTATTAATATTTTTCCCTCCCAAGTTGTTGAGTAAAATCAGTGTTCCTCAAAGATTCACTATATTCATTCTGTGACTTTGTGTAGCTCAGCCTAGCAAGTTGTTTCATACCACCCACCACACTTCCCCTGGGGACATCGCTCAGTTTCACAGGGTATTGGGTGTCATTGAACACCTGATAGGAAGGATATAAAAGATTTTTCTTCTCAAGGTGCCTACATTTTAGTTGGAAGCTAGCTGATATTTGCAGCCTGTCTATCTAAAGTATTTCCAGTGAACAGATCTCTTGGGAATTTATATGCAGCTGAATATTTTAAAAATACATTACATTTAAAATTTTTTCCTCGAAGAATACCTATGATATTGAGTTCATTTTATTTTTTAAAAGATTCTAAAAATAAAATATTTATATTCATAAAATATTCATATTATCAAAACTAGAATTCTATCAGTTTTTAAGATAGCAAAAGTCATTCTTTTAGGCAAAGAAAATGGCAAAAATTGTGACAGTTTTAAGTAAAATCCATTTGAGTTGTGACAGTTTTAAGTAAAATCCATTTGAGTTAATCATATTAAATATGTAATAATTTGGGGCTAAGTGAAGGTGTATTACAACAAACTGTCACAGTAGAGATCAACCATGTATGCGCTTTATTCTAGATTTTAAAGAAAAGTGAGCTCTAAGTTAATAACACATCAGATGTTAGGATTCTTTCTTTAAAAAAATTAAAAAGCATGTAATCAATTATTGTGTATATAAATTTTATATTATGACTATCCTTTGATATGAATGTCATTATTAATTATCTTTATTTCTTCTTTTATTTAGAAAGCACAACATCAGGAAGTATGTTTGAAAGAAATACAGCATAGTCTTGAAAAGTCGGAGAATCAAAATGAGAGTATTAAGAATTATTTACAGTTTCTTAAAACTTCTTATGTAACAATGTTTGGGTAAATTGTTGGATTTATTTTCTATAAGCAATAGGTTTTTACTATGAGTCTAAAAAGTAATTAGATAAAAATAAATATACTATCTGTTGCTATATTTTATGATTTATGGGTGGTCCTATTAGGGTTTTTATGTAAAGATTTTTGAAACATAATTTATTATCCAGTTGAAACTTTAAAACAAGATACATGTTAGTATTCCTTTTTTGCTGGATAATCTTCACTTAGCTCTGGATTAATATCTATTTAATTTATTTTGGTTTTTGGAATATTTTACACACACAAAAGAAGCCAGAATCATTCTTTGTGACTGTAGCAACCATTCAAGTGAATTTGTAATAAACCTAGGCCAATTATGAGCCAAATACATGATTTTAAATAATGTATATAATTGTTTTACATTATGGTACTGTATATTTATATATTAATATAATAAAGGAAAATATTCTGGATATTATTTTTAATAATGATATAATTGCATACTTTCTAAAGATGCCAAAGGTCTCAGTGTACTTAATATTGTTTCAAATATGCTGAGATGCCATTATAATTCCTGTGAGGTTTTAAATATAGAATTTTAAGTCATGGCTACTAAATGCCAACTGACGGTAACAGGTGAAAATATGTTGGCATGCATTGTTTCTTTATAAAGAATAGGCATTTAGGCTCTCCTATAAATTCATAGTCTCTTGTTCTTCATCTTATGTTAGTGATTGTCTGATATTATTAGTGTAGATATTCTGAAACCCCTGAGTTAAGTGAACGATTAAAGGGGAATAACTTGTCCCACCCCTACCCATGGGATGATCAGAATAAACACTCTTAATCCCAGGAAGCTTTAGAATAAAGTGTTTGTTATTGGGATGACGTAGAAGAGCTACCAAGAACATGTTCTCTGTAATCTCCTACCCTATGTGTCAAGGCAGGATACTCTAAAAGGGGATGGATGTAATTGACAAGGGATCAAGTAGTAGTGACTCCTCTCAGAGAAAGGCTTGAGAGCTGTTTACTCAAAGTACACTCAGGTCTCAAAAGATTGTTCAAAGAGGCAAGTTGTGTACTACACAGTCCAGCCTATGAACAGAGCTCAGTCCCCCCAAGGTGTTTTATCCACTTCTGACCAGAAATGGGGGCCTGCTTATCTCTGGTCCCCTCACTCCTAAGACTGCCATATCATCTGCAGGGGCTTACTTCCCTGTGACCCAGCTGCTTCATAGTATTTTTCTTAAAATAGCAAAATACAGTAATTTCAGAAACTGGCCACATTTCTTTCCCAACAATTGCCAACAATATTAGAGTTGGCTTTTAATTTTAAATCATAGTACTTGTGGTACTAAAACACATGCTTGACCCTTGTGGTCCTTTCTTCATCTCCTAAGGCAAAGACAGCCTTAGGAAATACTCACGTGAAAGAAAACTAAGGTTCTTGAGTATATCCCACTAGACTGTGAACTCTTTAAGGGCAGAACTGTATCTTATTTATGATTCTGTTTTCAGCCTCCACATAATACCTGATATGGATACTCAGTTGATGTTTGTGAATAGGTAGGTAGATGGGTGTTAAAAGAGGGAGGTATTCATATTCCTGTCTTAGATATGACAAAATGTAAGCATAGAGGGATTAACTTCTGTGGCTGTGATATAAAACTCTTTGGGTTTTAAAGTTGGCATTTGAACTCAAGCCTTCTGACTCCAAAATTAAAGTTCTATGTACAATACTTTTTTCCTGTTGTAAGCAGTGACAGCGGCAGTAGCCCAGCAGCAGCATTGCTGTTATTTATTGAGTACTAACTAGTCTGTGCCCAAGTTCTGAGTGTAGTACATGTATTAATTCATTTAATCTTTATGTCTGGTGAGAAAGGTGCTATTAATTAGATTTACTCTTCAGGAAACCAAAACACAGAAAAGTTAAGTAACTTGCGCAAGGTCACACAGCTACTAAGTAGCAGGCATCCAGAGTCTCTGCTCTTAACTATGACCGTACTACCTTCATGTATATTTCATAAATAAAGGTAATGGTTTATTTTAACAATCAGGCATTGCTTCATCTATGAATACTTTCTCTTTTTTATATTTTTAATTTTTATCAAAGTAATTTGTGCATATGGCGTTTAAAAATTGGTCCCCACAATATTTCAGCTGGACTGTAGAAGGAAAAGACTTACTGCAAAGTCCCTAAGGTTAGTACTCAGATGCTAGTGACACAGAATAACAAAGGAAGGTTGTCGGAGCCAGGAGAACTGTAACAGTCTCTGTGCTTAGTGTTTCCATGTGAAACATTAAGCACAGACATTCTGCTCTTCTGGCGTGTGAACCAAGCTCAGCGTCAGGTTCAGAGTCAGTGCCCTGGAGTCCCCAAGTAGTGTTTGCTTCCAACTTCCCATCATCCCAAAAAGCCCTTGTTCCCACAGTACTAACAGGCTGGCAGGATCTTCTCTTTATCCTTGATACTCAGGGCCTCATGACTTTAAGTTCTAAAAGTTTCCTTCCATTATTTATGGGATTATTACCTCTCCACATGTTCCTTTCCTCTTCCTTGATTTGTCTCCTGGATCTGACCTCCACGCAGCTTACCTTTTCCCTCAGGGTATCTGTCACTGGGTTTCTTGTGAGGTATTTCTTCCACCTGATTTTTCTAACCACTTACATGGTTCTCAAGGGCAGTCATTCTCTTCTTCTGTTGGGTACTGAATTTCTAAATAAGAAGTCACGATTGATTTTTAGTTCCCGAAAGTGTTGGGGTTTTTTTTCGTTTTTTTGTTTTTCAGCACTGTAATTCCGTTCTATTTTCATTAAAATTCTCTTGTTTCTTCCATTGGTTCTACCTCAGTAGGCATCTCCTGTTTCTATTGTGTTGGCCATCTTTCTTTCCGAGAGCGAGAGCCGTAAGTGAGTTTTAATTTTCCTTGCCTGCTCATGGTTGTGTTTCCCTCAGTACCTGCCAGTAGCCTGCCTTGCGCATTTCTGGGGCAGTATCAAACTAAGGCATGATGGCTTTAATACTCATGGGCCTGAGACCTCTTACCCTCCGCTGCGGTGCTATGAGCAGCCATTCTGCTCCCAGACTTTTTCAGTCACAAGTATCAGTGTTTTTCCAACTACCAGTAATGGAGGCACTTTACTCCACTGAAGAGTCTCCTTCGAGGTTTTCTGGGGTCAGCAAGTTTGTTGCAGAAACAAGTGAAGTTCACGTTGGAGGGGGATCCCGGGCAGTATCTGTACCTGGAACATTGTGCAGCACTTTAAAGAATGAATTCAGTCTATATCTACTGGCCTGAGATTTGTGCATGATTTTTATTTTTAGGGTAAAAAAAGTCACAGAATTTTGTATTAGGTATGATTCCCTTTTTGTAATCAAAACAAGCATCTCTCCATTTGTGTATATAAGTTCACATATGTTGGTATGGGCATGGAGGAAGGCGTAGAAAAGCCTACAGGCCTTGGTAGGGGTGGAGGAAGTAGGAGTAACTTTTCACTTATTCTGATGAGATTATATTTCATTTGTTTTTTCTAGTCAGATAATAATTTAAAGGTTGAAGGACAGGCATGATAGGTATAGAGTGGAAGAAGAGTAGGCTTGGTGAGGTTATGGCCTGAGAATGGAATACTGGAATTTGATTTTCAGAGGTGGAGTAATTTGGGACAAGGAAAAAGTGGAGAATCCTGCTTGAGGAGGAGCTGGAGGTCACTGGAGTCCAGGATGTTGAGCTGAGAAGCCTTGGGTGTGAAGCTTTCTGGGATGCAGAAAGCGTTGGGTAGAGCTGAAGGACAAGCATCCTGGTTAAATGTGAGTGGATGAGTGATGACTCCAGGGAGGAATGAAGCCTTGAAACTCTATCGGTGGTTTCTGATTGCATTTAGAATAAAATCCAGAGTCCTCAACATGACCCTCAAGGCCCTGCATGTCCTGGCCCTCACATTCATGGCCTTAAGGCCTTGTCCCCCTCCTCAGTGTAATTATGTTTCATATTTGTCTCACTAGATTTTAACCCTTATGAGGATTTACTGTTCTGTAGCCTATAGCTAACACAGTGCCTGGCATGTAACAGGCACTTAAGTACGTATTTGTTGGCTGGACAGATAGATGATGGGTTAGTGATATTGCCACTAGATCTGATCTTCAAAGTAGGGAGAGGGGATTTGCCTACTAAAGGGAAATTATATGGAGTCTGGGAGAATGAGTAGCTTTCATTCCTGAGGGCTGCAAGGGAAGCAGTTTCCTAGGTGAGGGGTCAGGTTTCTGTTCAGGCAGAGGTAGAGACTGAAGAGACTAGGGTGTAGAGACCTTGTTTATAATCAGATATGCTTTCCAGAGGCCACAGTGGAAAATGGGAGGGAGCTGGTATTGGGAGTTGGGAAGGTATTCAATAGAATGGGTTCACTTAACAGCTGTTTGCTTCAGATAATTTAACTGGAATTTCTCTCTTTTTTTCTTGTCTAAGAATTAATAAAAAATCCCATATGTTGTCTTCTTTTCTTTTGATGTTACTGAATTGGGAAGTTGATTAAATCCCAAGTGTAACTTAGTAGTTTTGATTTATTTAACATTACAACTAGTTGCAGTACTTTCAGATAACACACACACACGCAGATGCACACACAAACATTTAAAAATAATATTTTCCTTGAAATTTAAGATTTCCTTAAAATCTTAAAGCTTAGTCTTATTTTTAAAAATAACTTTAGTATCTTTCTTCTTTTCTTCTTATGTAGGCATAGTTTGGGGTGGGCACTGGAGGGAGGAACTGTTAGGAGCCCTTTATATCTAGTTTGTTATTAGTAGATGAAGTTAATATTGACAATTGATTATGGCTAAAACTATAAAAAGTAAACCTGTGATTAACTATCATACATTATTTGATTAGAAACATTTTAATTATATACTGTGAATGCTTTTGGCAAGCTTAAAGTTTATTTTTTGCAGCTTTTTTGTAAAATAGA